AGATAAGTTATCTTTCTTTTTATTTAGACAGAAAATAGGAGATGATGGGGAATGTAATGTGTATGTTTATCTTATTGATTGTTAAATAAAATACTGTTTGGCCAATGAGACAGGAAGTTAGACAGGACTAGGAGTCAAAGAGGATTCTGGGAAATGTAGTAGAGAAGTGCTGATCCAGGCAGGAAGTGACATAGCAAGGAGACTCATATTTAAGCAAAGGAGAAACAGGAAGGGCCCTCTTTTCCCCTCTGCTCCTGCTCCAGCAGCACAATGTGATCCACCTGCAAGGAGGGACGCCAATAAGGCATTCGATAAGATAAGACTTATAAAATATACAGATTTATGATAGTTAAGACTGAGCTAGCAGATGAGGAATCCTAGTCATTGGCCAAGCAGCTTTGAACCTAATACAAGTTTCTGTGTATTCATTTGGGCCCTAACTCGGGCAGGCGGCTGGCGTAAAGCTCACACGTGGCAGTGGGGCTCAGGTGGCATTTGGTGGAAAGATTTATCGTAACAATGCTTTTTTTAGGAAAGAAAGATTTAGTTTGGGTTCATGGCTACAGTTGTGTTGTGAGAGCATGGAGGACTAGAACCACTCACAGGCTGGTGGCCAGAAGGCAGAGAGAAAAATCTGCATTTGCAGGCTTACTTCTCTCCCCACCCTTTATCCTGCCTGGGCCTGCAGCCTGTGGGATGTGCTGCTGCCTGCATTCTGCAACTAACCCCTGCCAACCTGACCCTCAACAAGGCTCTTTAAACTGAAACTTTCTACCTCAATCCCCCACTCCCTGCCTGTATCATCATGTGAAATGCATCCAGTTCAACTGTCCTCACAGCCCTAACAGTTCCAGTATTGTTCAGTTGTTGAAGTTCAGTATCTCCTCTGAGACCCAAGACAAACTCTTAGCTGTGGACCCCTGTAATATCCAAGAGAAAAGAACATATTTCCAAATTACAGTGACACAGAGTAAAGATTTCCCTTCCCAAAGGAAGGAAGGGAGAGAGGGAAGGTGGGAGGGAGGGAGGGAGGGAGGGAGGGAAGGAGGGGCTTAAAAATCAGGTATAGGACAAAACCAAAACCCAGAGGGCAAATATTAGATCCTGTAGATCTGTGTCAGGCATCTGAGGCATGTGCTGTCATGTGAGATCCAACAGCACACACATGCTGTACATACATACATGCAGGAAAAACATGCAGACACATAAAACAAGTCTAAAAGTCTCTTTTATTGTAGACAGATCTTCGCTGGAGTCTAGTATTCCTGGCCTTCTAGTCCTGTTCCAGTACAGTCTTCTTTTGCATCTGCATCACAATGAACAGTGCTTACTGTCCTTGTTCCTATCAATATTCTGGTTCCTTGAGCTACTCCCGTAATTGCCCCTAGCGTTTCTCTAGTCTACAACTCCAACTTCTCCAGATTCTTCCTGTAAACCAGGTCAGAGGCTTCTGAACTACATCTCTGGAATGCCACTGTAGCCACCCCACTTGTCTGACACTCATTTTCTGTGTTAGTCAGGCTTTCGGTGCTGTGACTGTAGCTTATGAGAGAATGCATGCATTGAACTCATGGTTTCAACGGTCTGTCATGGTGGGGAGAGCCTGGGAAGCACAACTGCTCTCT